CACACACACACACACACACACACACACACACACACACACACACACACCATCCAATCCACCGCTTGGGACGGACCCAGATCTTGTGGTGAAGCGGGGATGCTTCAATGTAGGAGTTTGAATAATCCTGCCAAGGGGATCCATCACAGTTGCCAAGCATGTAGCTACAGCGTTTAAAAGGAGTTTCCAAATGATGCCGAGGTGCTTCGACGACGGCAAATACATAAGTGCTTCCTGGCAAAGCAAACGTCTTTCGGTTCAGGGGGCGACCTCAAGTCTTTGGTGCACATTCATGTCTTTGCACCTCATGAGCCAGAAGAATGTGCTGATTGATGCACACCTGTCCTGGAAAATATTGTTTAATTTAGGCTGCCACTGAGTTATACCGAGCTTCCCCAAGGTGTCTTCAGAAGTGTGTGTGTGTGTGTGTGTGTGCTTATTAAGTCTGAATGATTGTGCGGCTGCGTGTGATCGCCTGTGCGTAGGTGTGTGTGGGTTTCTTTGCACAACGTGTGCATCTGTGTGCGTTTGATTCTCTGCTGGTTCTCAAGGACAGGACCGCCTCCTGCTCGTTTGTGTTCTTCTGAAGAACGAGGGAACATTGTGCTGCTGGAGCTCCAGTGATGAGCAGCAGCAGACAGCGAGCGATACGAGAGCTTCTCAAACACTAATGACTGAATGCATCCACGCTCAGAATTCAAGGATTGATCAGAAAATAAAAAGGTAAAAGCCGGGGAACACAAACATCTGCAGGGTTCATCCTCTGGGGACCATCTTTTCATGGCAATCCTTCCAATAGTTATTGATATATTTCAGTCTGGACCAAAGTGTCACTTACAATGTTGCACCGAGGAAGCCAGATAGAGCAACTGTCAATAAAAAAAATAACTTGAAGCCAAAATTGTGAATATGAATCAGTTCTTTCTCACAGCATGTGAGCAATAAAGAAAAGGGGGTCAGGGCCACATGATGGAAATGAACTGTAAGTCTGCTGCTGTGATTGAGCAGCAGCGCAGAACAACGATGAACGCCAGTGTTTCTTTGTAGGGAACCTTTCATTTAAAAACAATGTGATCTGTGAAAGTGCACACACGCACGCACCTGTTTTCTATCATCAACTCCCCTCCACATAAAGACACAGACACACACACACACGCACACACTGTCATGTGTGACAGACACACAGGCAGGTTCACAACAGACAGCACAGAGAGTCATTGACATAAAAACTATTTAAAGTAGTTTTCTTCCCTGATTGATTTTGTCTTCAGTCCACTCACTCTTTACAGTTGGTGCTTACTGGCTTTCTGATATTTCTACGGAGGCAACCATCATCTACTGTACAGAGTGATCTCATCATAAACCTGCAACTATTTTCATAACTGATAAATCGTGTAAGTCAGTTTTCAAACTGACAATCGTTCTATTTACAGCGTCTCAATTGGGATTTGATGTCATATGTGATATTAAAAAAGGCTGCACAACTCACCAAAATTTGATTGAAATTTAATTATGCAATTTTGAAATCCCAAGAGGCAAAATGTTTGCAGCACAACAATATTTGATTTAAAATGGTATTTTGACAGAGACACGCATCATATTCTACGTACTTAAGGAAACATGCTTGTTGGTACAGATCACTGCAAAATGTACACGATAATTATTCAAATATATGAGATGAGAACAATATCGTTCCCTCTAATATTGCAATTCATATTCGCATTCAAAATAATCGCAATTTTTTTCAAAATCGTTCGGCCCTAATAGTAAAGTGAAGATCTTTGGGTTTTGGCTGTTACTCTACCGTCGGTGAAGCATTACGATCGCAGCACAAGACGAGCCTCTTCTCTCCCGTCTGTGCTCCGGAAATTAAGCCGTCAGCACATTACAAAGATCTGGTGAATCAGTGTTGATGACTGATTATCTGGAGATAGCGATGTGCTTTCCTACGCTGTGATGAGCGTGAGTAGGTCCGCTCTCCTCCTGGTGAAGGCTCCCAGCAGGGTGGGGGGGGGGGGCTAATTCTCTCATATGTGGTCTGATTAACAATCCATCACATTCAGTGCCTTATATTGGTATTTGCTAAGCTACTGTAGCTGTCATATTTGTCGAGGCTTTCGTCATACGGAAGTGGGCGTGGACTAAGGCTCAGACTTTTTGGGGTGATGCCGCACTTTAAATGGCATCGTAGAGTCTTTCCTGCCACTCTGATTCACTAACACACCAAGGTAACGAAATATTACAGAAGCTGCCTCTGCTGTCCTGACCAATAAAACAAATGCAGTGCCATCGTGTTCACCCCCCCTCCCCTCCCCCCTCAGGCTCGTAACTCTTCCTGACTGTTTAAGTGTTTCTGTGTGAGAGACCATTTAAAGGATTTCTTGTTGATTAAGGCAGATATGCAAAGCAGTCACTCTTGGATAAAGCGGCATAATTGCATCACAGGAGCGGTGAAGAATGAATGATTAAAAACATAAAACAGAGGGAGTAAGGAGGTGAGGAGAGGGCTGAGGGTGGTGGTTTCATCTTCACACCCCGAGTGTAACTCCTCTCCTCGTTCCCTTCCTCCATATGCTGATCACAATCTCTTCATCACTTTGTTGACCCTCCTCCTCCCTCAAAGGCTACCACGTGGTTTTTAACCATCTGGTCACACAGGCTGTTACATATATCATTATATCTGAATATGCAATATAGCACGCAGAGAGACAGGATGCACATCATTTATCTCCAGAGATATGACCCAGAGATACAATGGGTCAACAGAAAGGTGTTGCTGTAACAGTGGATCAGTGGGTTTGAACCTGAGACCTGACGGAGCTTCAGTTTCCTCTCCCAGTCCACAGACGCGCAGGTTCGGTCAACTGTACAGTATAAAGGGTGGGTGTGAGTCTGTAAATGAGCCTGAGGCCTATGAGTAACCGGGGGGTCATTATCCTCCTGCTTCAGTTCTCAACAAACTAAATAAATGTCTGCAAATGTGTTATTATGTGTTCATATAAATTATTTCTGCACACAGAAATGTGTGAGCGGAGACTAAATGTATTCCATAAGTGCACGTGTGCATATGTAATGGCTGTTGTTACACGTACATAGAGGGGAATTCACAAATAATTGATTGCGGCCGCTGATAGCGATGTGAAATACGTATAATTTACAACCGCTATCTGCCTCGCCTCAAGGTCCGATTCACGAGAGATATTGTGTTCATGATATTACAGCGTGAACTCGCCCAGAAAGTTTTGCAGATGAATGCAATTTTCCCGTTTTTTGCGGAGGGCAGGGAAGAAAGATTTGTTTTTCCCTCATGTATTTTCCTAAATGACATGTGGAAGAGCTTTATTCATCTGGATAGAAAGGGTACCATTTGAGCCAAATGTCTGCATATTACCTCATTCTAACACGTGCAAGTAGCGATGATTCTATGTATAAATTACATCGATTCCAGTTTGTAATATCTGATAAATAACCCAGTGACATGCTCGACGTTCTCTTGTATTATCTATTATAAGCCTTAATATTGTTATCCTAATTTTCAAAATTTTTATTTTACAATTATCATTTTGTTCTATTTCGTACACACAGTGCCTGTTGTATGTCGGCCTCCTTCTGGCAAAAGTTTGTCACTTTTTTCTTTCCTGTTTAAAGGTTTTTTCGTCTGAATCGAGGGTCTGAGAATTGAGGGCGTCATATGCTGCAGTACAGCCCCTTGAGGCGAAACTGTGATTTTGGGGTTGTATAAATAATAGTGACTTGGCTTGACCTGAATTTTCTATCTGGCAAAATATGTTAGGAAATCCAGGACCAGTGGGAAATAAATATATCCTAAATCATAGACACAAGCTAACCGTCTTCCACATTTAGTTGTATATCTTAGTATCTCAGCCTCTCTCACACACACACACACCCACCCACACACTTCTATAGCATTAGCAGGCTGTGTGCATGAAATGTAGGTTTCATTACAGGATCTCATCCCTCGACCTCTCCCACAGGAAACCCATTCTATTAACCCAGATCTATAATTGACTTCTTCTTTTAAACATACATCGCTGACGGAGAGAGACGAGGAGGGACGGCCAGGAGGTAAAACGGGAGCGGTGGGCTGATTGCTGCAGACAGTGAGACAACACTCCTGATTATATAAAATAAATCGGCTTTCTGACTTTCGTGTCTTTGTCTATAGCTGCAACTCTCCGGTGTCCCGATACAAACATCTCCTGCTTTGATGATCCTTCATGTATTTGACCCGCAAAACTGATTCTCAAACAGTATTAATCTGCTCAACTATTCACTATTGTCAGTAACTATTTCACAGGTAAAACTGTTGAGGACTTCTAAATATGTTGCATGATCGAGCTAAAAATGACTAAAATAAAACTGCTGATGATGTTTTGTTCTCACAGTTTCAAAAGCCATTTCCGTGCAGCTGTGCGTGGGTGAAAACATCGTGTCAAGCTGTACAGATCGGACAGCATTATGAGAAAGTCTTCAATCAGAGAGCTTTTATGATCTAATCACGTGATGTTTTCCTGTTTTGGTAACCGCACAATGAGACGGGTATGTAAATGTCTGTGCTTTGCCTCGAGTATTGATCAAATCCCTCATATACTTCTGTCTTGAACAGGTATATATTACAAAACTATTATATGACGAAACCCCCGGTGTTTAAAAGCTGTGCATTGTGAGCCGGGCTACCTGTCTCTCTGTCTTCCTATATTTAAATGTGCAGTAGAGATACGCTACATTCCCACTGTGCAGGAACCGAGGTCATAAGACCACGAACTCATTAAGGAAATGACACGGTGGGGGTGGTGAGGGCCCATAATTAAGCGCAGGGGCCCCCCGGGTGGAGTGGTATTTAAATAGAGGATGTACAGAAAAGAGTGGCGACAGTGGGAGAACGATTCAGGGAGAGGTGGGTTACATGTGTGCCAAATAAAGAAATATAAATATAGTGCCAGAACAAGAGGAGGGGGCATTCAGAGGGGATAGGTGGAAGGAGATCAAGATGTGGAATGAAATCTCAAGAGGCTGATGAAGAAGAAAGGCTATCTGCTGGTTTCAAAAAGTCAAGTGAAAGGCCTTCGAAGACATTTTAAAAGGAGGTTAAGGAATGTTTTAAAGGACAATTCAGATGCATTTCAACCCATAAATGTGACTCTATGGGGTGGCGATAACTCTGCATTTTACACCTTCGTTGAAGAGATACAGGGGAAGAAGGACAAGAATACTTCATCAGCAAAAGCTGCAGAAGCCTCACACAGCTTTCCAAATAAACATTTTCATCAGAGTCTGATCCCTGCGATGGTCATAATGGCTAACTGCTCTACATCCCGGTCAACTTGATGACGTATGCCATCGGCTAACTGTAATATCTGATCATAATCGGTCATGGAAAATGTATAACTAAGTGGGAAATGGGAGAGGTTGAAAAATACCAACATTTTCTTTTAAGCTTGAATTAAAAAAAGAGAGATGGAGAGATTAAAAGGCGACGTCGGCCTGAGCGTATCAGCACAGCGACAGGTTGTGGAGGCCACACTGTACACCTGCATGAATATGACTGTTATTATTCGGCACGGAGCTGTCCCATTGAGACACAGCTGATGGAACAGCAGCTACAATTAAACTAGCGCGATGTTGCATTTGTTTAGAAGAGTCACTTTAAGTATTTTAAAGGTAAAATAACACATTTCAATACAAAACGAAAAGAGTGCGTTCCTCAAGTTGTTACTTTAAAGGACTCCTCCAGACTTTCTTAGAACTTGCAGACATTGGAGGAAGACAAACATAGAAAAATGGTTTTAAAGAAGCTTTAGCATCTGTCAATGAATGGCTCTGACTAAACTAGAAGCTGTCACAGAAGAAGAAGAAGAAGAGGCGACTTGACCCAAATGGAAGGGGAAGCAGTCAGGTGAAAAAAACAAAACACAAGTGAGGTAGTTGTTAGACAGACGTATAATAAGATGAGAGAAAAGACAGCGGAGACATAACCGTTATACAGGACACACCACAGGAAGCCAACCAGCGAACACCTGCGTTTGCTCTGGAGGCGGCTCGCTAAGTGTACTTGTCAGACTGAAAGGGCACTCCAGAGGGAGGTAAAGACATGGCTGAGGAACCTAAAGCCCCCACGGTTCCTGAGAGGATGAAGACGGCATCCTGAGAGTGCTCTGAAGAGAAGGAAGGGAACTAATTGTGTTCTCTTGATAGGATACGTTAGCTAGGTTTTAAGAATAAAAACTAGAGGAAATCCCCCACTTCTCAGCTCCTTCAGAGAGTGAATGAGATTATGATAAAAAAAAGTACCACTTAAAGGCACTTCCTGTTATTACAGCAGAAGAGAAGGGGATGAGGACAAGCACGACTTTTAACCTCCAAAAACACTGTGTATGTGGCTTATACAAAGCACTGGAACACATAACCAATGGATGTGATGTTGTAGAAGGTAGGCCTTTTATTTATCATTTTCAAGATACTGAAGAAGAAGTTTAGCAGAAGATCCTCTGGCAGGGAAAACAAGAGTAAGAAGAGTACATTTAGACAGCAGCTAGAGAAAGGTGGTCAACATAAGGATACATTTTTAAGTTTTCCTCATGGAGAGAAAACTGTAAACTGATGTCTCAGACAGATGCACATTGAGAGACTGACCCCACCACGTAAAACAAGAGGACATTACAGCTGAAGCAGATCTAACAATTTCCCATCATGCTTGTGGAGCTGCTCAGTGGCCGATAATGGCAGCAGTGTTACATGTATCCAACTTGTATTGATTCCACCAAATGTAAACACGAGGAACTCCTGCGTGTGAGTGTGTGAGGGTGTGAGTGTAAACTGTAACCGTCAAGTCAGGAAAAGGAAAAACAGAGAAAAAGATGGAGGCAGCTGAACCGTAACGGTGGGGTCGACAGGTGATGGAGGCTCGTGAGCTGGAAGTGTCTCTCTGGTATCATCCGTCTCTCACCAAACATTCTCGCTCTCGCACGCAGGCAGGATTTTAAGTGATTGGTGTATTTGTACTCACATCTGATGCAGGTCCTTTATCGGCACCAGGGCAGCAGAAAGTGACGAACTCATGGCAACGTTTGTGGACCACGAAACAACACACTGTGGAGAGAGAGAGAGAGAGAGAGAGAGAGAGAGAGAGAGAGAGAGAGAGAAAAAACATTTACATGTGCACAAAACACAGTGTTGAGATTCTTTCTTTAACTTTGCTCAGTAAACATAGAATACCTTCATAAAATCATAACAGTACTGACGAACAACTCAATAAAATACATACAATTATAAACCAGAGTTTATTCAGGCATGTTTTCATGATAATATTGAATAGGTTAACAGTCTTTAGACTGGTTTTAAAGACATCAATGGAGGGGGGGGGGGATCTAATTGTTCTGTAACTGGATGTGTGGAATAAAAAGAACGGCGAGAGACAAATATTTTTTTGATCCCGTTTGAATTTTGCCAAGAATTACAATATGATGTTTGTCAAAAAGGTAATTTCTGCACGTCAAAAAAAGTCACATTTTGTCATGAAGCTGTTGAAGAACAAGACTCTTCTATACTATAAATACATGATTAGAAAGATTACACACAGAAAAGTTGCGTAAGTGACGTCCCTCTCTGGAGCTTGGTAGAAGTGTTTCGTACCGTGACGTTCTCACACCAAACAACGGGTCTTCTTCTGCTTACCAGCTCACAAAAATAACCCTAAAACCCGTCAGGTAAGACAACGCTACATTTGCTCATGAAACGTAAGTCACCTAGCTAGCAAGCCACAGTAACGGCCATGTTGGTGTCGATGACGTAATTAGTGCAAGACGAGAGATGTAGTTCTTGTTGTACCAAGAGTGTGAACTAGAGTCCTCATCGTTAACAGGCAGGAATGATTTTAACCTTGCGTTATCTAAAATGGTAAAAGCGTTGAGAGTTGATTTGAAAATCAAATGTGAAAGTGTATAAATCATTTTTCTTTTAAGGTCCATAGTGGCGTCCAACACGATCCCACACCTGCGTACATACATCATGGTTACCAGCAAACGTTCTCTCGCTGGTTCGTTAAAAGTGCGCTTTAATTTAAGGTGAAGTTTGAGCTGAATTAGATATGGCTTTGAGCGGGCGGCTGGATGAGAGCGGAGTCATTGCCGTCTCTCCGAGCTCTTAGAGCTGCAGCGCTCACTTAACCTATGAAAAGCTTTCGCAGCGGTGAATGTACAGATGGATGCTGTGCTTCTGTCTTCACACCCACACACTCTTATTGTCACTCCCGCATCGTTGACTCATTGTCAGCCACTCTGGAGAAGAGCACCTTCTTAATGTCTAAAAATGTAAAAAGCAACCTCGTATTCATGTTGCAGTGTGTACAACAATGACTTCTTATTAACAGAAGTGACTGTGTTTGCAAAGTTTGTTGTGAACAGAATTATAATAAATTTACAACAAAGTCAACTTTTTTTTCTCCCCTCCATGTGCAGAGATTTGTAGAAAATAACGAGCGTACACATAAACACACGTGTGCGATCAAAAGGAAGCCGGTACGATCACAATGGAAGTGAGATGAAAGGCGTAACATGGCTCCACTTTTCAGGTCGGTTACAATCAGCGGTGCGGAAAGGTGTGAAAGCTGCGATGCACAGCGAGCCCGTCATCTCCGCCCTGATCCACGTCAGCTCCACTGAACAGAGGAGGCTAAAAATATCTCTCAATCACACACACACACGGCCGTCATGATTGGGCCCCAGAGTATATTTACATAGAGAGACAGAGAAGTGCAGTAAATGCACCCAACAACAGATTTTGTGGTGATAGGCGGTTACAGAGCCAGAATAATACAGCATATTTGAATCGTCTTGCTCTTCCGTAGGGCTGATGAAATCGAGTAAAACCTGCTTGAATATATAGTGACTCCATAAAGGGGGTCAGTGCGACAACTATCAACAAGTTAATCAATGATTAACAGAAGAATAATGAAGCCGTTCACCGTTTGAGTCATTTTTCAAGCAAAAAACGAATTATTCTTTGTTTCTGTTCAAGTTTCTAAGATTGACTGCATTTCGTTGTTTTAAATGTGTTAAAAAAAATATCTTTGGTCGAATGAAATAATCTATTTGTAGACGACACCTTTGACTTAAAGATGTAGAAATAGATGTTCTTCACAATTATTTTGACATTTTAAAGACTTGTGGTTATCAAAACTCACCACACGTTGCAGCACTAGAGCAGAGTGAGAACCGTACGCTGTGGCAGCCGACAGGAAATGTATTTGTTAAACAATAGTTCCCAAGTTTTAATATTTGCATAACTCACAATAAGAGAAGTGAGGTCACACAAGCATGAAGAAGTTTAGTAACCACAGTTCTGAATAAGAACAAAGAGATGTTTGTCTCTGCACTTTAGTCTAACGTTAGTATCAGTGAGAGTATTGAGATGTAGAATTACTGCAGTTTACATACACGTCTGTCCAAGATGTCATCAATTCAACCTGTTAGACCATTTGTGTAAAATTGCCAGAAATAAAATGTTGATATGATACGCCATTTTGGTGTCACATGATACAACGTGATGTTTTCACTGTCGGTGGTCTCCTCTACTGTGTCATTTACATATTTGGAGACCAGCTGTTTTATTCTATTTCATTCTATCTATTATCGAACCTACACTGATAGGAGGGGTTATAATAACACAAACACCCACCAACTCACACAAATCATGTGCACCTCAATGGTACTTCACTCCCACACAATATCTTCTCTTTGGTTACACCACCCACTCACACACACCACCCACTCTTTCCAATGATATCGCAGATTGAGGGTGGAGGGGACCGAGGTAGAGATAGAAATGGTGAGAGCTATGTGCACATATTGCTTCAAGGCAACTGCTCTTTTGGAGAATTGCAACTGCTAAATCCCTGAGAGACACACACACACACACACACACACACGCACACACACACACACACACACACACCATCCAACGGTACGACCCTTGGGCCAAAACAAAACAATTCCTCTGTACAGAAATATACTGTGCCCTCCATTCCTCCCTCTAACCAGACCCCGAGCTTTTGTTCCGCCCCAATCATTACCTCAATCATCCATTCACACGTCCGTTCAGGTAAGTGCATACTCATTCACAATGGAAATTCATAAAAAGACAGGTGGCCTGATCTAATCTCACAATGCACAGACCAACCCGTCAAGTTTGCAGAGGGACTGCTGGAACACATGAGGCAGATGTTCGATTGGTTCTTACACCTCCCATGAGGTTTTACATAATGTTAATGAAATTATGTTAAACGTAATGTAGAAGTATTATCAGTAAAATATATGTAATACAAAAGAAAATGTAGTCATTAATAGGGCTGACCTTTCAGGTTTGATCCTTATTGTGCCTAGATCTACAAATAAAAACGCATTTGAATGTTTTTTGCCGCAGCCAATCACCAAAAGAGATTTGATGTTGCCCTCTACCACAGTGGCTTCAACCCATACAGCCGGGGTTGCCTGCCAGCACAGGGCCCCGAACACGGAGATGTCTGAGCGAGCAGCTCACGGTGCCAACAATGACAATGATTAGCCAGCCAGTGGGACGTACACGCACAGTGTTCATTCACATGATGGGCATTAAATTGAAGTATTGGTATCACTATAAGGGTACTGGTGTTGTCATTCTAAAAAGATGCTCAGCCCGATTCAGTCTGCTGAATGTCACCCGACAGCATTGTGTTGGAGCAATGTGGTGTCTGGTCCAGATGGAGCGAATTCTAATTTGGTTGTTTCTTTTGAATCTGCAGCGTGATTCTGTATACGACTGTATTTTCTCACCATGTAGTGTTTTTTTCCTAAATTGGTGAATATGTTATTGTCATGTTCTTTTCTTTTGTGCTCTTTGTGTTGAGCTCTCACGGCCACCGTGTGACATTGTAAAGCGAAGCGAAGGGAAGCTTTAGTTTTCGTTCCACCGAAGCTTTGTAACATTCAATCTGCTACGGTTTCCTGGCAAAGTTTCAGCACCAAATCATTTAAATGGAGACAATTTAACTTGAGTTCAGGGGCGGGACCAGGCCTCAAACACTTCCTGTCACATGTCTATAAACGCCTTTCTGCCTGCGTGCTTGTTTGTTGTTGTTTTCTGTGCTCTGCTCCTCCACCCTCCATCTTTTTCTCTCTCTTAGAAAGTATACTTCCTCCTCCTCTTCTTCCTCTTCCTCTGCTCCCCTGGTGCCCCTGCGTGCTGATCTCAAGCCGACTCTGGTGTAGCTGGCACGCTGCCTTTGTGCCTTCATTATTTATTAGTATACATTAAATATCCATGGAAAGCGCACACACACACACAAACAGTGTAATACTTAGGTTACTGCAGAGGTAAGCAGCCATGTAGTCTACCTGTAACACCGGCTGAGCATTAGGTTACGGTACAGGCTGCAGTTAGCTCCTCAGGAATCCTTTCTCAGCCAACAGGGAGCTTCTTGTTTCACTGTCAACTTAGACTGAGGAGGATCAATTAGGCTTGTGAACAATAAAAGGTTTACACGGGACTTATTCAATAATCAGCCATGAGAGTGCTATTGTGTTGATCTTGTTTCTGAAGATAAAGTCACAGAAGCTCACCTGTTGCCACCTCTTTCTCTGTGATTGTGTGACTTGTGTTACTACCATGCAAGCGTCATGTTCTCATGTTGTCCCTAACGCAATGATTTTCTCCAGCCGTTTTCCCAGGAAAGAACATGCCCCTGGAGTCTTCGCCCTAAAATGTAATGATTTACATCACAGGGATGTGCATTTTGTCCCCAAAAGAGAGGCGAGCCCCCCAACATGAGTAATACACGCCCACACAGTAACTACAGAGTGAAACTTGTTGTCAGCGACATCTCTTTGAAGTGTCCCATGTTGCCCCGATCTCCCCCCCCCCCCCAACAGTCACATGACATCATTATGTAACGGCTGGTTGTCAATCAATAGCATTCCTCCCACCGAGCTTTGTGTGTATCAATACAGCGTGAGGAGCGGGGCTCAAACACACCCCGCCTACCTCTCACAATTCAACGGGAGCGCCTCGTCCTATAGTCAGTAAGAGGACAATAAACCTTTTGTTTACTCTTGAAC